AGTGGTATGAAGTCCATAAGGATATATTGATGGTATTTTTGCGAAAACTGACTCCCTCATATTGTACTTTGTACAATGTTATCACACAAATTAACATTAATATCAGATCAGAAGTACTTTCTGCTACACTCAAGAGTCCCCCCCATTTACACCTTCTGCAACGATGGAGCAATTGGAGAGAGTTAGCTTAGCATTTTCAAAGTGATAAAAAATTGCTTGTAAAGCACCATTTTATTATCATTGCTGCTTTAATCTGAGGAAATAGTCTGTCACTGTTTGCTGTCTTTGTGAGCTCTTGATGCTTTAAGCCATCATGTCACTAAACTTTTGCTTTACATTGCTTGTCTTTTACAATGTCTCCACAGTTCCCCGCCCAGACAAATACAATCCCTAATCTAATCGACATGATACTTCCCCTCTATTAACCAGATGTTGCATAAAAAGACACGTTTGCTTCCTGTCTCCAACTCTGTCTTGTTTTATTCACTGCAAGACTAAAACAGAGCCATGTTTGAAATTCGCTATGTTTCATATTTATTTAGAAGCTGATGCTGTGGAGCAGAATCACACACTGTGAGAGCATACCAGTTAAACTACGCTCAAAGCAAAGCGTGTAGCAACAATTTTATCAATTAATCAATATCCAAAACATATTCTTAAAATTGGATATTAGTCCATTGTTTAAACATATATTGTAATCATGAAGTGAAGGGATTCTGCAGAATTACTTTGTGTGTTTTTCGTCCATGATAAACACCTTTTGTCTGGGACACCTGTGTCCCTTCAATTCCTTCACTTGAACGCTCCTGTAGCCTTTAACGCTGAAGATCTGTTTGACTTGATAGAAATGACTGGCAGTTATCAAATAAACCTGTTGACTCTAGTGCCATGAGAGATGGAAGATCTGATAGGAGGTTTGCACTATTCATGCACAAGAGTCAATATTTGTTTTCAGTTACCTTGTCACTCTGTCTGCACATTCAAATAAGTGCTTCTGCACACCCACAGGCATACACAGTCTCAGAAATAACTCAAATAAACTATACCTGTGTCACTGTAAGGCCATACGTCGGGGTTATCTATTGTTTAACTAAAAAGATGAAGAACTTAACTCAAGCGAGAAAAAAATCGTTATATATTTAATTAGAAATTAAAACATTCAGTTAAGACTAATTGATTCTTCAAACATATTCGTGAGTTATGAAAGACAGAGGTTTTCCTTAGCCAACAGGTAGAACCTGATCTCTCTCTGGATATATATTGCTGGAGATAGATGACAGAATGAGTCACACATTGCTCACTAACCATAATGCTTCATTTGAATTTTGCACACGCTTTAATTTTTTCTGAAAATTATTGTTTACCATATCTGTTAGCCTGATAAACTCCCAGCATGCTGGACTGAATAGCAGTTCAGTCTGTGCATGTAGATATCCATCACCAAGATTAAGATATTATCTAAAATGGTTTGATTTTTGTATTTGTACATATACACAGAATACAACTAAATCAAAGTGCATCTACACATAGTTGTCACACATTCGTATATGCATTAATATATATGTATATATATATATATATATATATGTTAAAATAACTAATGGACAATGTAAAAAAAAAAGATTATATAAAAAGGCTTGAAGTACCATTCCATTGCACACACAGACACACACACAACTGAGCAACACACAAACATACACACAAATAAATAAATTATTCTTAATTATTCTTTGTTCATCACTTAAGCACAGTTTGTCTCATGATTAAAGAAATGACATAAAAGTTGCTCTGTCACTGAACCGGTTCAAATGACGGACGGTACATTTGCATCTGACAGAAGGAGCCAATCAGGACTGTCTTCGAACTGTGGTTTACCTAATGCCACTAGAGGGCAACTCTGCAGGTAGAAAAAGAGGTCCTTTCACATCTGGGAATACAAAAGACTTTTAATAGTGTATGCTTAAAAAGGGGAGATCTTCAATCCAGCATGATGATGTTGAATTAGTTAAATATGGCATCTGGAGTGAAAATAATAAGAGGAGATTTTAGGAAGAAAGCTGCCCTAATTTACAAGTCACTGCGTGTAGATGTGACTTGTTCTGAGTTATTATACAAAAAGTTAATAATGCTCAATGATGCTCTTGCAAGCAGGGATTCATCCTTGATGAATTTCAACTAAACACACCGTGCTGATCGACTCTAAATTAATTAATAGACCAAATGATTCCATCATCTCATCATAGAAGTGTAAAGCCATGATAAGATAAGTTTTTAGGACAGGTTAGATTCTCTGTTCATTCCTAATTAGTCAAATGTACTTTCTTTTCTGTAGAGAGAGATGGTAGGCCTCTCCGGGCTACTGCACACAAAAGCATCCTCATTCAAAATAATCACTTTACCGCAACACGCTTATCACAAAATGTGCAAAGAACGTACAGTTATGTATAATTCAAAGAAAAAATTGTGGCAGATTTACCATGGGAAAGCCTGAAAATTTAAATAAATAATGAAATGTAGTGAATGGCAAAATAGATTAAATAGCTGCACAAAACAAGTTTTGAATTTTTAAAGTACATACTGCATAACACATATATACAGTAGTTGTTTATAAATGCAATGAAAACCAACATCTCACCAGGTTTAGAAGGATGAATAAATTAATTCTGCCTTCTTGCAATGCTGAATCAGCTGTACTTGTAATTGGTTGTGCCTCTGCAGTATCTGTGGGAAGGACATCTTTTAGAGATGAGATCACGAGAAATCGAAGCTTTTTTTTAATAGAGTATCAGCTTATCTCCAAAAGTGGTGATTCCTCTTCATTCATTTAAATGTTTATCATTGCTATCATGTTAATTGGGTTGGATCCATAACATCAAATGATAAGATAAGATAAAAAAATGACATCTTTAGGCATAGTTAAGAGTATAAAAAATGTACTCATCAGTCAGTGGGTGCGTGATCCTCCACTGCGAACAGAAAACAAACTTTTACATACACAAAACTATCTATATATCAGTCTGTTGATGATGTCATTAAGAAAACCAACTTATTTTGGGATAATAACGCTGATAAACGTCTAAAGCTCCTCGATCCCTTCCATTTTTTCTTTGCAGGAACAGGAAATACAGCAGTACAGATACAATCTGGGGCCATAAAACGGTTCTATTGCAGGGCGCAGTGGCGCAGTGGTGCTTCGGGGTAAATGATAACAAAAGCATGCTCACACCCCGATGCTTACTCATTTTCCGTTTAAATCTGTTAGATCTTGCTAGCACAACATGGTGATTGAATCATTGAGAAATTCAGATTTGTTGTTAACATTTAATGTTTACAGTAACCACATAACTTTTAAGGAGATTCAATTACTCATTGGATCCCCTGTGCTGCTTCAAGAAACACTAGTAGAACACATTATTAAAGATATGCATTGGTATTGATAGATGACAAAATACTTTTAGATCAAAATCGTTGGACTAACACCTGGGAACCTGACGTGCAGCAGAGAGAAGTGCAGTTGAAATCTTCAGAGATCACCAAGAATGGGTTTGAATGTTGTTTTTGTGGCTTGGCAACACCTTAACTGAAAACTTCACACAAAAAAGGTGTCAACGCCGTAAGTAGAAAACACAGGCAGGCGTTAACGGCCAAAAGGTCGACATCTGGGCTGGAGAGGTGCTTCTTCTCAGTCGCGTTTGAAGGGTTACACTACTTTACCCTTCATTTTTTAAAGAAGGCTGTCAACATTAATATGATCTGAAAGATAATGTGCAAAAAAAGGCAGGGTATTTCTAAATAGCGCATTTCATAAAGAAAGGCAACGCAAAGTTGTTCACAACGTAAAGCAAATACTGTTTATTCTGGATGAGCTGCAGCTGTCTATTGTCTAAGACCTGAAAAAAAGAGAATTACAGTAGCTAAGTCCACTAGAGATGGAGGCATAAATGAGCTTCTTGAACCCCGGCTCTGGTTCCGAGGGGAAAGTTCAGGTGTAAGTCAATTAAAAAAAGAAAATCTGAAACTGAGATTTTTTGTGCTCTTTGGATTCAAACAGGATGCAATTTTTTATAGTTTAGTTTTTAATATACCGTAAAAAGAATCTCTTTTGTTACCAAATAGAATCATATCTGTCTCATCCTGATTTAATCTAAGGATGTCTGTTTTCATCCAGCTATATACTTGCTCCAAGCATAGAGAGAGAAAGAGAGAGAGAGAGAGAGAGGGTCTAATGGACCCGTCATTTGGTGAAAGAGACGAGTAGATCTCAGTGTCATCTGCATGGCTGTGATGACTGGCAATGCTGTTGCAGTATGTATGATCTGACAAAGAATGTGAAGGTGGTATAATAGCGGTAAAAAAAAAGAGCCTAGAGGGACTCCACAGGCCAGTAGAATAAGTTCAGATTGATTCAAATTCATGGAAACAGCAAGACATCACCTGAACCAGTCCAGAAGTTATGGCCCAACTCAGTTTTCCAGTCTATCTGGAAGGATTTTGTGGAATTTGTGGTTCACAGTATCGAGAGATAAACTAAGATTCAGCAGCAGAAGAACTGATATTACCTGCTTCTGTGTTCATTTGAATATTCAAAACTTTGATCAGCGCTGAGTGCTAGGATTTCTTTCTAAAGCCAGACTGAAATATCGCCAAAAGACTGTTTGCATTTAGGAAGCTGTTCAGTTGAATCAATACTATTTTTCAATTTTGTCAACAATCGTCCCATTAAGGGGAAGATTAGAGTAAAATGTGTGGGCTATTTCTACAGATAGATCTTGTTTTTACAGTCAATTCTAAAAGAGGGAGGAGCTTTCATCACATTCGGCATTAAGATCTCCAGATCGTTTGTTTTCTTTTCATTTTTGACACAAGTTCATCTTAAAATGCAGAAGTTTTAAATTATCTAAAGGGGTCAGAGCCATCCGCAATATCGACATGGGAAAATTAAGTATAATACAGAAAACAGACTTATGGTATTCTGCTTCTTTCAAAAAACGACAACTCAATCATTGTTTCAGTGTTAATTTAATCATACAAATGCTTAATTATAGATACAGAAAAAAAACAACTTTAATTTGACAATATCTCCTCAGATAAATGTGCTGTCTTAGGACTATGTAAACTTTCATCCCATCCACTCAGCCTGCCACCCATCTCATGTTCATACATAGTCAAAAACTAAAACTTAATGAATCCAGCAATATTTAGACTCCCTCCACGTTTCTTTCACACACACACAACCAGTAATCATACAAGAAGGAAGCACACACACGCATTCACACACAAGCTGTTGAGACTAAAAGAGGCATTAGAAAACAGTGTATACTGTTTGGAAAGGGAACTCTCAGATGGTACAAACACAACAGAGCTGCAATGCAAAGAGCTGGTGAGTTTTACAAATTAACACGGAGGCAACACAAGTAATAAAAAAAACATTCATCCTCAATTAACTTAGAGAGTCGTCAATTTGGGGGGGAAAACTAAACTTACAATCAAAAGCGTTTGAATGTCTCCTACTCCTCCTCAAATTGTATCCGGTTTATTTCTAGGCCAAATATACATGTAAACTCACACATAATGCACAAAGCAAGGCTGAATGAAAATTTCGGGTTTAACAGCAGACAACCTCGTTTATATGATCAAAACAACAGGGGAAAAAAATCCCACATCTTTACGATGAAACGTTTAAACCATAATGAGCAGCCAACCAACATTTTTCTTCCTTTTTCTATTTTTTTTTTAATGCTGGTATCACAATCCACAAAAAGCCCCAAACGCAAAGTCTTCTTTTTTCATTTCAGAGGTGGTTGACAGCATAGTGCAAATAGCAGTTCACAAAACAGCAGTGGCAATAACGCTGACACAAACAGTTCAACCTCACACTTTAACGCTCTATCCTGGGCTTTGAGTTGGTCGTGTGATTTTTTAGCACCACCTGCTGGCTGCATATGGGACATTTTGAGTCTGCAGTGCACGAAAAGACAGCGCATAAACACCACCGGGGTACTTGTCGAATCGGTTCAGTTCCAGGCGGCGCGGAATCACTCAGAGATACTTCTGAGGAACGCGTCTATTAAAGCTCTCTCCACAGGGATGTGTATGTGTCGGGTCGTCCTTTACCCAAGTAGTATACACCATTTCACGTCAGTTAAATCAAAAATAAAACCAGGGACATACATGCCCACGCAACAGGCATGCACACGCAGACGTTTTATTTAGAACACACACTGTAGACAGGGACTCACTCTCCAGGCAAAAAAGATTTAGATGGCTTTTCAACCTCTCACCACGCCTCACTTGCGCAAACTCGCTCACATCCTCTCTTAGCTTAGACATCTATTTAAAGAGGAAACCCACCCTAAAGAACAAACGGCCCATGCAGTCTGAATCAGACTGTTGGTTGGAGACAGCACTGACTGGTCTCTTGGCTCTCTGAATTTTGTCTTTGGGAAAAACGGGGTTCCTACACACAAAAATCGTAAATATTTTCTTTGCAAAGCTTCCCATGGTCAGTCAAACCTCCTCTGGTAGGACACTAAAGGACTGGAATGGTGGAATGCTTAGTGTTTGTGAATTGGTTTTAGCGTCGCAACTTGAGGTTTTATGTTGTTTATTTCCCTAAAAATATATTCTTAAAAAAACACACAAAAAGAAATGGTGGGGGTCAAGAAAGGCCCACTTATGGGATTGTTCTCCTTTGGTCATCCTCAGTGCACCGTTTGAGGGGCTGGATGACCTGCAGCCTTTGATCCCCCAAAGGAAAAGGAACAAAAGGAGGGCTCCAGCCTAACGAGGGAAAAACTGCACATTTTCATCCATACGGACTGAAAAAGTGTGCACCGCATTACATTCAGGGTCCAGACAGCAGATAATGGTGTTCTAACTCACCGGAGCCAAAACAAAGTTCAATTAAGACAACTAAAATGCTGTTAAAGCTCGGCAAACACAAACAGCAGATGATCAAACTTGGAGCTATGAGGCGCAAGTTGGTCATTGGTTTGATTCCGCGGCCGGTCCCTCAGTTTGATGACAGAACAAGACAACAACAGACACTTCTGCCAAAGCCAGGCAGAAATTATGATAAAAGCATAATTTAAAGGATACAGGTCCACATTCTAAGTTTCGTATATGACCCATTCTGCTCTTGCAAAGTTTGTGAAAAGATCAATTTCCTGACTTTTGCTGCAGAAAAGAGGCCCCATCGAAGGGAGAGCCCATTCACTGGGACTTTTAACTGGGAAAAAGGCTTTGGGGTTTGACAGAGAACATAATTTCTGTGTATTTGTGTTGTTTTTTGTATGATGAACAAAAACCTAGAAAGATATGGAGGGGAGAGTCGTCATCCGAGCACGAAATGAAGTGACTTGTGTAACTTATTCCAACCACTTTCAACATGCTATCCAAGACCCAGTCTGATGTGTAGCTATGATGACATAATGTCATGTGAGGGACATCTAAACGAAACAACAAAAAAAATCTAAAATTATCTCCCTTTTTCACTACCGTCAGCTGTGTTCAAAATATTTCAGACCTGTGTAGGAACCCCAGAGAGAGAAAGTCTTCAGCTGCCTTTGGGTACATAACGTTACATGTGGGTTGTTTAGGGTGATTTTCCCTTACATCTTACATCCTTGAATCTTACAGTGGAAATAAAAAATAGTCATGTGTATCTGTTTTTACAGGTTTATAGCACTCTTAAATCAAGCCTTCACACATGCCAATCCGGGTGTTGATGTCAGGTGGGATGTTTCAGATGCGATTCATCACCTCTCTGTCGCCTGCGTTTCTGCCGAAATGACCACGGGCTCCGGTGGAGAGTTGTAATGAGTCAGTATAAAACAACTGTTCCTTCCCCCTTCAGCTCCTCTGTATTTGGTGACTCCTCCCTGGGTGTTAAGCTCATCATTCTGCAAAGGAGTGAGGGGGTCTTTGTCCTTCTAGCTCTGTCCAAATGGAAAGGGACCGTGAATACCCTGGGAAAAAAAGGAGGAAAATTGTGTTTTCCATTGAGCATCAATTGCAATAAAAAAGTCACAACTTCAAGAAGTGATACAGGTTTAGGAGCCACAATACTGTCAGTTTTAGGGCCATCTCATAGCCTTTAGCAGCAACAAGAAACCACTCGGTTACTGTCCGTTTAAATAATTTGCTCACTTAAATTCATGCTGGTTTACAAAGTCAAATGGAGCTCCATGTTCCTGTTCAACCACTCATGGAGTTGAGTTCAAACTGTGAACACAATGTTCAGCCACAACATGAATCCTCAGTATAATCTAACAACAAAATAGCTCATCAGATTCACAGACGGATCCAATGTTAATTCAATCATCAGAAATGACAAACTCTGAAAAAGTTGATCCGTTCAGGGGTACTAGTGATGAATGGAGTAGTGATAATACTCACAGAAGACAAAAGCCACACTAGCAGGATCGCTTAGCTGTAACGTGGTTAGAAACTATAAAGCATGCGGTAACTGATGATCATCAAACCAGTAGAGCGGCTGTGGAGTGGTGGTGAGTAGACATGGTGCAGTTTGGTAAGACACAAGGATGTCGTCTAATTGGCAGCTTTCAAAGAATGAATGGTTTTCATCGTGTCTGGACAGTTGATCCCATCAGGACATACACACCTACTCATCTGCCTTAAATATCCATTTATAAGCAAAAAATATCAATAATAAAGCCTGCTGGATAATTTGTCTCAACTTTGACTTCAACTCTAAAAATATATATATTCAGGAAGTGTACAATTTGCTGTAAAGGTTTCAGAGCAGCATAACTTTCTTAACATGTTTGCCCATTAAAAAAAAAAAAAACAATTGAGAAATGTTTTTGCCAAAGAACTGTGGACCTTAGAACTGTTCTGACTCTTTACTCCGGAGTGTGCAAACACAACAGTTTGTGACTTTGGTTTCCAGTCTGAACTTCACACTGTTTTGCATAGCAGGGTTTGGGATTTTGACGTTTTTAACATGAGTACATATTCGTGTGTACGGCGCACACAGAGACTCCTTTGGTGAGCCAGATGGGGGGAAAAAAGCCAAATCATTAATTCAGACACAGTTGTGGTAGCGCTCCCACCAGAAAAAAAAAACTTCACAAGCCAAGAGGAGTCTTAATTCTGTGAATACATACCTGGCCATAAGTCACCATGGAAAGATTGGTCTGGAGACCATTTGACGCTCTATTTACAGCATTATGAGACAGTCCATTCTGATCTTGCTGGATTGGCTCTTGTGTGCGGTCCCATGCTCCGCCGGGGTCTCTGAAACCATTGTCAGTGGCGTCGTGTTTGTTCTTCTGTGGCGAGGCGAAGGGGTTGAAGTCTCCCTGCACGTTGCGCTGGGGTTGTGTGTTGAATTCTGTCTCGAAGGAGGAAAGCTGCTGAGTCACGCCAAGGAGGCCTCCGACTTCTACGCTAAGGATCACCCAGATTACGTCTGCAGAGAAGAGAGGTGCCCACAAAGATGGAATTACTGCAAATGACTGAGGAAAGACACTGACCTACAGATCTGTGTTCTAATCGCAATAATATTATACATTTTAAAGAGAGGACAACAAGAACAAGTCAACGCAACAATACATGGTAAAAAAATAACAGTTGTAGCCTAATCAGTGCGGCTTTGAATGAAGCCATGTGGTTTTCCTACCTCCATAAAACAATCCGGACGCTGTGCACATCCTCCACTGGCCCTGGTACATGCCGGGATTTGTGGGACTTCTCATCTGCACACTCACATCTGATACCTCCTGTGGGTCTAGAGACTTCACCATGACGGTGTTCACATGCCCAAACTGATCCCCACCGATGTATTTGAGGCAAACCCCAGGCGGCCACGACTCCGCACCTACAATTTAAATAGATTAATTCAGCCAGATAATAAATAACTACCGCTGTAATGTTTCATCTGTTGCATGGAGATTAAGAAAAGATGCCTCACTGAGCACAAAAAGTACCTGTGTTTTGTATCCTCCAGGTTTTTGTGAACACCGTATCTGGAGGGACAGACTCTCCTTCCCCAATTGTCACATCTTCAACGAATGACATGGATGGCGTGTGGATGTTGGGGCTTTCGCAGTCATAATACGCACCAATAGCAGCTTGCAGGTTCCTGTTCAGCACAAAGCAAAACAAATTTCACCACAGGTGAAATTGACACCATGCGATTTCAGACATGATTCATTTCTAGTGTTGCAGCTTAATGTGAGAAATACAGAACATGTCTTGTGTCTGTGTCTTGAGCTTTTGATTCTCTAAAAAGAAAAAAGAAAAAAAAAACGACTAGACAGATGTGACCGTAATCAAAACGACCTCACCAGCCGCGTATATGATGAAACAGTTATTTCATTCCTCGCTAGCGGGCCTTGTAAAGGTACTACAGCTCACTTCAGATGCCGAATGTGAAAATCCACCCTAACATCGATTTTGACAGGCCTACATTAATAGCTGCATTGATCTGTCAAAGCGCAGCCTTTCAGTCACTGGACATTTTTGTACAAATGCGCTCCTAATGGCTTCAGTCAGAGCGTGATGGAGACTGAATAATACCTCAACTGGATCGTCATTCCAGCATCATTTAAATAAGCTCGCCACATTCTAAAATGTAACCATGACTTTGATTCAAACAAGGCCGTCGGGTAAATGTGCACAGACACAAAATCGAGGTCTACGTCTCCAGATTGTAGAGAAAAAAAATCTAAATCTACAGACCAGGACGAGCACTGATACTGACATACAGTAACTTAAAGGTTTGAACTCCTTCTTGGCATCACTCTAAAAGACTTAAAAGACCTGAGGTTCTAATTAGCACTTTAAACAGCATTTTAGCCATCAATAAAATGAGGGTATAAAGACTGTCAGCCTAAGAGACAACGCCGACTGATCAGCCAAAACAGGATTGGCATGGGGCCCCTCAACAAAAATGCTTAAAAGGAGAGCTAAAAACATCCCCGATATACTGAAAAAAGCCCAACTTATCATGCATCCGCCACTATGTTTCCACCAAACACAAGGAGACTCCAGATGTTCTGTGCCCACGCTGGCTGCTTGGTAGGTGTGAGGCGCACCAACTCAATATTAGTAGATGTTGCCAGGCATCAGTCAAGGCGTTCAGTGGATAATAATCAGTAAAACAACAAAGTGCATCCTTTGAACAAGGTGACAAACCTGAAAACTAAATGAGGAGACGCAATTAATCTGGACCAAGAGGATGCTTGACTTTCTTACTTGTGAGTTATAACACAGGATTCCTCCAAATCCAGGTTCCAATGGCAGCAAACCGAAAACTACGTCTTGGTGACGTCACCTTTATAATAGTACTGCAAATAGAGGACTTTGCATTGCGGTTGTGTGGTCAGATTTTTTTTTTCTCCCAATTCGCTGCTCGTAACCGACCTGCCAAAGGACATGCAAACCTGCTTCGATCAACCCAGCGTGTCCGATGTTGATGGATCACGACTGGTTACGTCATTACACACACTCGAGGCGGCTCGCGTTGCCTGGAGTCGTGGCTTCCCGAAGAGCTCACTTAAAAACTGGCTCCTCACGCTATTATGTAACACGGCGGCTACAATTGAGAGCTCCCTGTGTGGGAATTAGCAAGCTAGCCTAGCTCATTAGCTTGTTGATCAATGTTTTTGCCCCTTTTTTGACAACAATTTTCTTTGTAATTCCTCGTCGGAACAAACTTTACATTTCACTTCCGTTCTCTCCTGGTCGTCCAGTAAGAGTTAACTGCCATTTCCCGTGAAGGGACGAATAAATTAGCCAGAACGCTTTGGCCATCATTAGCCAAGCACCATGTGTGGCTGCCACCATTTTTAAAAAATAATAATTTTGCCGCACGCTAAAAGCCGCATTGTACAATTAGATTTGCGTCTTGTTGCTGGTCAACAAGCAGCCCCCCCCCCCCCCCCCCCCCCCCCCCCCCCCCCCCCCCTATCCCCGCACTCACCAGTTGGTCATGTCCAGGAAGAAGGCGCAGCCGGCTGGGTTAAGCTGGAAGCCCAGTAGCCTCTGAAACTCCGATATCAGGACGTCCTTGTCCGTGGTGCCCATGCAGCTGAACTTTTGCATGAGCTCCGCGTCCACGTCCATGTCGGTGCCCTCCATGGGAGCCGGGTGTCCCGTAACTGAGACGGGGCGGAGCGGGGGTCCTCTCTCAGTTGAATCCGAGGCCTTGACCAGCCATAACAATCAGCTCAACAACAACAACCGCCAGTGCGCATGGCACGACCAGGGGGACGGTGTTTGACGTTGCAACAGCGACAGCGTCACCTCGGACGTCATCTGTTGCTATTTGTGGCCACGTTTTCATTGGTTTATCAATGAAATTCATGTTTTCCATTCACCCCAATTAACCGCACGATCGAAACTGGATGCATTGATACTGTAGTGATAAAAACACGATTCAGATCAGGTTCGAGTGGTTCTAACAATTTTAAAAACAATCATACGTCCTATGTTTTTATTTGTTATTCTGACTTATCTATTTATTTTACAGAAACATCAATAAGCTATTACTTAAAGAAAATGGATGTGTCCGTTATTTTTAAATATAAAAGACTTATTTAGAAAATAAATCTAAATGTAAACAACATGTTTTTTTATGTAGGAATTCTGTTGCTCGTCATCATTTAGGGATTTCAAGTTATTAAATTGATTTTTTCAAAATATTAACTGCAGGATATTCAGTTTAGCAACCTCATTGCTAATATGGTTCAAGAAAATTAATCACTTTTGTGAGACAAAATGTGCTGACATTTTCATACAACCATAATGATAATTATGGAATAGGATGCAATTGGATTGCATATTTGCATACTTTTACTAGGAAATATTTCAAAATACCTTGAATTTCATACCAGGAATTGAATGATAATATAAAACTGCCATGAATTGTAAAGCTAGAAAGAAAAAACTTCTTCCATAAAAAGATTTTAAATTAGAAGTTTGATTGTATTTTATGTTATTTTTATCTTTCAATTGATATTACGATTAAAAATATTATTTCAAATGTTGACCGTTTATTTTTCTTTTTAAGGAACACCAAATGCAGTTTTGGTATTTTAGATATATATATATTAGTCTAATTTTCAGAATAAGATTGTTTTTGTTTGCTTAATGCTTGTCTGATTAAAGTTGAAGAATAACAGTTATGGTTAAGGATGGCACAAAGATGATGCAATCTCTACATATCTCTCTCCATCTACATATACATGGTATAATGTAATATTTTTTAGGTTTTTTAAAAGGCATTGAAAAGGTTTGAAATGTATAGATGCATGTTTTTTTGTGAAGTTCATAAAGATGTTGTCATCTTGAAAGAATGGTTCTTGTGACCCTCATTTCTTTTAAATACAACTGACAATTTTTTCATTTGTACAAAATCATAACCTTCTTGATGATGATTTTTTTTAATCATGATATGTGATGTGATTTGAAAACCGTGAAAGTCCATTTTTCAACATGTAATACACTGTAAGCCTAATTTTACCACAAAACTATACATTTTGTAAGACTTATTATGTAGTAATTCAATTTCAAACTGGAAGTTTAACAATGTTGTTTGAAATAAAGTACATATTTCAAAATGGATGAGCAGAAGTTTTCAGTCATATAATTTAGAAATCCAAACATAAAATATCGTTCAAAAGTGTACTGTAAAGGTAAAGCATCATGCATAGTACAAGCAATAGATTATTCTGTATCACATAAAATCATTCTCTTGATTTTGAATAGTTTTATCAGTACGTTCAATATTATTAATGTTGTTGCTTTATTTGTTCAGCAGAACCTGTTTAAAATCAAGTTTTTTAAAATTGCTACTCATGTAATAACTGAAGGGCTGGGTCTGAATTAACAAGAAAAAATTGATCCAGCGGAACCTTTGCTTAATGTTTTCTGCAAGCATGATAGGCGGAACTCTCTACTGTTAGGTCCTATTTCTTGGTCGGGACGGTTATAGGGAGCACAGGAACCGCGCTCTTCTCAGAGCTTGTTTAAAATCATGCCGAAGTAAGTCATCGTAAAATTGCTACATTTGTTGTTGTGTGATGTTTTTCACATTCTCTAAGTCAATTTATTATTTTAGTATTTGTTGTGTGTATTAACTGGTGGTAAGATAGTGTCTGAAATGTTTTAATCCACTCTGACTTCATGTGAATACTGGGCGCTTTGTTGGGATGTGTCTATTTGCTGGAGCGAACGTCGATGCAAAGGTTATCTACCGTAGACTAGCGCAGAAACTCTACATTACATAGAAATTGAGTTGCTGTGCAATTCTGAGGTTACTCTTTTAACTCAATGAGATATTAATTATGCCATTGACTGAACAAATCTATTTAAATCAATTTCCTGCTTTGTTCTTGGTTTTTCGATCGTTTTCGGTTACATTAACAAAAATGACCCCAAAAAATCATAAATCTAATCAGTCATTTAACAATACACCTGGGATTTTGAAAGTGTTGGTAAAGTCAGTGTGCTTTGTGCATTTGAATAAATTTTTTGTTACTTTTGGTTTAACAAAGCAGGATAAGCTTCTCAGGATAGTGGTCTGTGAAGAAAAAACGTCTTTCCACTAGACATTGTTTAATTCCTGCACATAATGCCAAAATTACAAAAATGTCTGTGAAGTGGTAGTTTCATGTGATTTTATGTCATGCAAATTAGCTAGACCACCATGTCCAGGAATCATCTGTGTGAATTATTAATACTACAAAAAATAACTAATGGAGGTGTGGATTTATATTGACATCAGTTTTTTTTTATCAATCTTTACATCCAACAGGTTTTATTGTGACTACTGTGATACTTACCTTACACATGACTCGGTAAGTTGTGTCCTGCGTCCCTGAAATGATTGAAAGCATAAGCAATTGTATGAACAATTTCTTGCATTAAAACAAATCATTCTGTTTTATCTGAAAGCCGTCGGTGAGGAAAACCCACTGCAGCGGTAGGAAACACAAGGAAAATGTGAAGGATTACTACCAGAAATGGATGGAGGAGCAGGCCCAGAGCCTGATCGACAAAACAAGTGAGCAGAGCATTCAGTCTTATTCAGAGAACCTCATTTTGTTTTCAGTTTTTTTCTTGTTTGGGGAGTCTCTGGTTGATGCTAAAAACGTGCGGGTAAATGAAAAATCCTAAAAGGGAATGCAATTTCCTTTCATTTAATTTAAACTGCGTTTGACTATAGCGTTTCTACAGAACGCCTTATGCAAACAACAGCAATGTCATGGCAGTACATGGTGTTAAATCTAGCCTGGGTCCCGAAGACCTAATTGGAGTTTCAAAGCTTTTCTCTCTACAGAACAAACGTAGCCCGAGTGCCCTTTTTATTTTTAGAGAAAAATGGATACAAGTCTTTGATTGGGTACCTGTTCAGGCTGTTCTAAATCTCGAAATATTCAGAATTCAAATTAATATTTTGTTACGCCTTGTGTCTGATGATAATTTGTGCTCCTGCTCTCAAAGTTGTCATCTGTGTAGAAAGCTTTACTTAGAGTCGATGTATGTTGGCATGTCTTTAAGCATTCACACTTCTGATTTGAACTCGGCTTGTGTTGTTCGTTTTATTTAGCTTTCTCCATAGAAAGTGAAAGCTGAAAATGTTCTGTTGATAATTCGATTCATTTTACAGGATAAACAAGCAGCCTTTTATCATTTGTTTTTGTTTTTCTCTTCCTCTGTGTGGAAGTATTACACACTGCATGCATCAGCCTCCACAGGGCTGTTTATATTTCATATACATATTACAAAGAATTCTCTATTCAAAAAATGTCTGACAGATTGGATTCTGAACCCCATTCTAGCTCCACAAAAATATTTGTGTTGATATTCCCTCTCGTCTCCCAACAGCGGCTGCATTTCAGCAGGGAAAGATTCCTCCCACACCGTTCCCCGGTGGCCCTCCCCCAGGTGAGCCCGTAGTCTCTCAGCTGTGTGTAATTTCATTAGCGAACACGAAGAGGACGCTGTATTTCTATTGTAATACGTGTTAATTTAAATAACCTTTTAATGATTACATGAAGCTTTATTCCCATGAGGAAGTGGTGTTGAGTGAAGTGATTCCAATAAAATCCTACTACTGTCTTTCAGCCTTTTGGACCTTCTGATTAGTCAACTGTTGTGGAGCACTGATGATGAGTTTGCTACTAACACTTTTAGGGTTAGTGATAGGCAGAAAGTGAGGCTCCATGTCCCAAACCATTATGGAGATAATGGACAGAAAACACAGTTTTATCATGTAAAACTAGGAAACGGTTCCCTCACAGTAATCTGGGGTTATTCCAGACGTACAAAGCAAATTAAGTTTGTACAATAATGTGACTGTAAAAATACTGAGTGTGTGTTTTGCCTTCAGTTAGTCAGTTTTCAATTATGCACTATAACATGAATCATTAAAATAAATGATTATAGATACGAGCACAAAGGTGGTCATTTATCTTAGATTAAGTGCTTCAGATTTACATGGTTTCTTTACAGGCGGGAGAATGAAGGCAGTTAGTGGCCAGCTTTTAGTCTTAGGTGTGAATGTGTTAAGCTGTCAAAGAGAAGAGTGTCCACCGCCGTAATTACACACTAACATTTGCTGTTTGTTTACAGCTGGCCCTCCTCGACCGGGCATGCTGCCAACTCCCCCCATGGGAGGTCCACCTATGATGCCCATGATGGGGCCTCCACCACATGGGATGATGCCCGGTGGGCCTGGTAAGAACCACCAGACTGTGAAGCTTATTTGTGCAATCTGTCTCTTTTGCTTTTGCTTTAAAAAGAAAAATGAGTGGAAAATGCAGTCTCTGTGATCATCTCATAGAGTTTAATTGAAAACTGGATTTACTGCCTGCAGATGTTTCAGACCACATGGTTCTGATAAGATGTTGTTTCTCATCATCTTTCTTCTTCATCCATTGGATAATGGATCCAGTGCACCTAATACATTTTAAAAAATAGTACAGCAAACGAGGAAGATTCTCAGCTTTGCATGTTTTTGGGAAATAATTGGCCTCTGTTTTTATTTTTTTTAGTATTTCTAACACTGTCTGAAGGTTTAATATCAGAAACATGACATTTCTATGCAGTTGTAGCTCTTAAAATCTGACAGAGGTCATTCTTGAACATGCAACAGGATTTTAAAGCGCCAACATGTCTGCCAAAAAATGGTTCGGTCTTCTTTAAGGCGCATCGCTGTCATTCGTAGGAGGCATGAGGCCACCGATGGGAGGACCCATGCAGATGATGCCAGGACCGCCACACATGATGCGCCATCCTCGCCCAATGATGATGCCAGTCAGGCCGGGCATGGCGCGACCAGACAGATAAGGCCGATTGGACTTTATGTGCCCTTTGCTGCCATGAACAGATGCTGTCCGGTGAAAACCCGTCTGGATGTTTCAGTGCAACTTTTTAAAGTTTGTTCAACCATTATCCCCATGATTTCAATGGTCAGGTCTGGATTCTCTGGTTTAGTTTCTGGTATTTATTTCGGAAACCTTTTATTTCAGCCCTCTTCCGACCCCTCGCCCACACATTGAAAAACAGTTTCACATGGCAATATTTGTTTTTTGTTTTTTTTCTTTTATTTTTCTTAGTTTTTTTTTAGTTTTTTTTATATCGATTGCGTTGGTTCGAGAAATAAAACAATGCTTTCAAAAAAGTTTCTCGTAAATTGTCGTTCCTCTTTGTGTCTCAAAGGCCCCATCATCACTGCTGTTTCTTCTTTTTGTTCAGACCTCTGGTCAGACCAAACCTCTTGTGAACGTGACATTTGAAGGTTTGAAGTGCTGAGTGAGGATACATGTTTCATGTTCATGTCACCCTCACATTTTTTTCAGGTCGTGTTTTATGTTTAGCAGCTTTAAACTCAGATATTCCCTTCAGGAATGGAGAGCAGCTAAACAGGAGAATGAATTGCCCATGCGGCAGCTCATAATTACCGCTAATGTTGTGTATTATGTCTCTTGAATGTGAAAGGCGAGCGTTGGTTGAGGGGTTTTTTGGCATGTACACTTTTTAAAGTATTACAGCGTATTGGTCCAGACATTGATTTATGAACACTGGAAGTATTCTAATGCTGCAGCTCAGAAATTCCTGCTGCTGCCTGGCAGCTGAGTGCAGCCTTCAGCCTACAGAAAGTGTGTTCAACGCTGAGCTTGGCACATCCTCACACATCTAGAAGGGGGGGGTGCTTTGTTTCCAATTAGGAAAAAAATTAGTCAAGTTTTGATCAAATCAGAGTGCAGTTTGGGGAGCAAATGATCGGTTAAGACGGTATTTTAAAGGCAGGTTTGATCATACAGATCTGTGCTTTGAAACCTGCATCACTACAGACGCTTCTCAAAAAGGGGTTGTGACGCTCATTAACACCGGGTTGTAATGTCTGCGTTTGCAACCACAAAACATGTTCCTTTAACTACAGAACACGTCTCAACAGATGGAGCTAGAGAGTCGCGGTGCATTGCAATTAGAGCCGGGACTCTGGAATGATGTGCACTCACTGATTTTTTTTGCTCCCATGGACTGTCAAATTTCTTTGAATCTCACGCTCCCAGAGGACATTTTTTGCGGCTCTGTGGTTTTAGAAAAATTTGCCCGGCCATGGATTAAAAAGAAACATATTTTATGTGTGAAGATGGCGAGGGGGTGATAGTCATATGGTTCACGCTGTGTTTGCTCTCAGACCGGAGGGAGCGCCCAGCAGAGACAGCCCAAAACTGTGACAGAGCACTGAACAACATCAGATAACTTTTTGGGAGCTGTCGGTCAAGCGTGCTGTAAATTGCAATCCTCAAGGAGCGTTTTGGTAGATTACATGCAATCTATTGGGCCCTGCGCCGACTGGATTCCACTTAAAGTCCTATATGCATCTCCTCTCCACATCACTGGAACAGAAATAAAACCATGCTAATGCACATTTTATGCATACATCGAGCAGGGGAAGATGACCATGTGTCATCTTCACCCGGTGAAGTCTATATGAATATTCAATCTGGCCGTGAAGTGGAGCACTGCCCTGAAGGGAGCCCAGTGTAGTGGCGAAAAGTGTGTTCTGTTGAACACAGGAGAAGGGGAAACGGTGAGAAATGTGGGTAATAATGAGTCTTACAGGACTAGTGCGCTTCTGAACATTAGCTACAGTTTTTGGAATTAATGAGAGAATTAGGCTTTGCAAAAAGCAATATTTGTTCACAAATGTTTCCATCAGCTGCAGCTGGAGTGATTTGTGTACATAGATTAAATGGTATATGTTTATATGAATGCTTTAAGTCTCAAAGGACTGCATTTTCCTTGAGGAAAAAACAGGATCTCTTTTTCTTTTTTTTAACACAAATGGTTTGGGGGAACATTGGAAAACCAGCTGGAGTTCTCTCCATGTTTACATCAATCTGGACTCAGTTACACTGTAAAGATTTCCCGTGTGCGGCTATTAATCCTTTCAGAAATCTCCAGGGTTTATTGATCATCGATTTTCATTTCAATTTAGGGTTTAGTCTGACAACAAACTGTCAGGTATTCTTACATACAGAAACGTGATATTTGTCAGGAAGTGGAACCCTTCAGGTATACACGACACAAGTAAATGTAATCTATAAAGATTGATAAAGACTAATCGAACATGATAAGGTTTAATTTTGCCAAGTCACACAGTTGGCTGATATACAGCAAAGATCCACCCATTTTCAAATCTTCAAAGTAAAAAAAATGAATGACTTAACAAGGCCTCCCTGTTTCCAGCATCCTCCTCCAGCTCCTCTCTAGGGACCACAGCTGTTCCCAGTTCAGCTGGACGACATAATCCTGTTTTCTGGACCCAGAGCATCCCATGGGCCTCTGTTCACATAGCCTTGGCTGGTTGAGCTGTGGGGAAATTGACCTCATCAGATATCGGAACCGCGGAGGCTGCATTACAACCTGCTGAATTGAGGTCCTTATCTGGTTCTGTTTATCACTTCTGAGGAGAATGCCTACTTTTCTAATTACTGCTGGTTCCACAGTAAATGGTTAACGTTTTTCTTAGGAAACAGAGGGCTGAAAAAGCGGCTGCAGAGCTCAGCAGAATTTCAGGTTGCAGAGCCGCTCTGAACACACGCTCCCAGATGCGACTCAGAACTCGGCCGAAGGTTTGCCGCATCAAAGATGGAAGCTTTTTCCGCCAGTTTTGCAATTTTACACCGTGGTTCACACTCACCTCTTTGATAGTCCCGTCACGAGTGAACGCATTAATGTCACGAATATCAGAGTCTGAAAGCGACGCCATAACCCCCGGACCCACCGGCAAGGCCGCGCGGGGAGAGAGGCTTAAGAAAGACTGCAGATTGATCGACTGTTCGCCCCACATGTTCGACTGTGACCGATACCTGGCCCGACTGGCCCTAATCGACGCTCTCCGCAGGATCATTTGGGCTCTGTGTCCACGGTGGCGCATCCTTTTTTTTTGTGCAGTTAGCAGTCCAGGCACTCAACAGCCTTGGCTGAATAGAAAAACGATAATCCCCCGAGTTGCTCTTCCTCTAATGCCAATTGGCTCATAACTGCATGAACGCCAGGACGATGCTCGGGAAGTACAGCAGGCAAGGATGATTGCACAGAGCTGCCGGGTGGGCTATGGATTAGAAGAACAAGGGGGGAGAGGAATTAGTCTGCGAGTCAAAGATTTTTTGTAGAATCCTCCAATATCACCTGTCTGCCTTTTTTTCCCCTCCCTTTTGTCTTTTTCTCTCCATCACTTATACATCCTCTCCTCCTCCCTCTTGTCTCGTTCTCTCTGCTGCCCGGGCTACCAACACTGCTCTGTAATTTAATCCATTTAGTCATGGCTCCGGATCAATATCCATTTTCCTCGGCCTCAGGGGGAGCTGCTTGAATATGCTTGTTCCAAACGGGGGTTGAGCTGGCCAGTCGGGGCTCCCGAGGGCCCGAGGGCTGGTGCAGATGTTTATCACTCCCGCGTGTTCGGCAAGAATGCAGCTAAGCTGGCATCTGATCTCTCACTAACTACCACAAGAAAAGGAGAAATCTCTATATTTTGTAGCTTTACGCGTTTGGATAGAGTTCTACCAACTTTTTTATGTCACGCTTCGCCACTTACAGTCGAGGGCAGCTCCATCAATCGCCAGTCATTCTCTCTCCTGCCGAGATGTTGCTCTGAAAAGCGTAGCCGGTTAGCCAGAGAGTGGCATCAAATCAGACTCAAATTAGGCTAATTTGATTAAGGGTGCCTCGCCGGTGACCGGGGAGAAATTAATTCTGCTCCATCTAGGAGTGATTCGCTGTCAGCACGTTGTTGGAAGCGTGGTTGGTTTTTTCTTTGCTGGCACCTTTTCCCGGTCACTCACATGGGCCCCCGCCAAGGTGTCCTTTTGACCATCGGAAAAATGTTTTCAAGCTGACCACATGAACTCATCCCTTCGCTGACTTTGATTGACCATTTTCAGTATAAATAACCTTGTTAGGTGCACAACTTCTCATTTTTTAAATGTTCTTGAACCTGCTCTGCAGCATCCTGGCAGTGACCAGCTGCACGCTCTGCGGACACTGATTCTCCGCTCCGCTGTGCATTACCATGTTTTATAAATAACCGTGTTAAATATTCATCCGTCAGCATTTGCATGCAAAGTATTCTGAACCTCAAATTGTGAGTTTCGTAAAGTCAAAGGGGCAAACAAACAGTGTAAGTTAAACTATCTGCTGACACTGGTCTAAGTGTTCATGTAAAACAGCAATATTTTTCAATCAGTGGATTTGGATTGAAAACACAAGCGTAGCAAAAATGTTTCTACACTTACAGTAAACCCAGTGGGTTTAGATTAAATCAGATGTTAATTTGATGATGTTTCCAGCCTGTTTCGGACCCCTTGAGAGAGCTGGCAGCATCATAGGGCAGATGTCCAAGATTACAATCACGATTCCAAAACCCAAGCGTAGCTATTTAGACACTAAAGTAAGTGGTATTAAAAATAAACAACTGGAGGAATTCGTCAGTAACTGAAGTCAGAGACATTAGTGGACACTTGAACAGTGGCTGTTACCTGTTACCTTTGTGGCATCATAAACATCTCTGACAAGTCAAATGTATCTCGGAAAGGTGTGAAAAATGAGAAACTCAAGTAAACAGAGACTGTTCTTCTGGAGGGTTTTTGTTTTCCAAAAGTCTATATTTGGAATAACTTCTCTTTATAAATCTTTAAAATAACCTCACCTCCATCTTAGGGGCTTGAATTTTTCATCAGGCATGTCATAATCTCAAACATATGGTTCTTATCCATACATGCATATGAAATTAGTTGCAAATTTACGCTCTTATGACTCTCCTGGGGCTGTAGTTTATGTGCTATTTATGTGCTATTATTTTGCCCGTCTCTCTTCATTTCAAGACAAAGCCCTTTATCTTTTTGCACCTGCCCTCACATTTACACACGTTTTCTTTTCCTGAACCTTTATTCATAATTTGACCTGCAATTAACCGTCTTTTACACGAGTTTTTGAAAGATTTTGTTTTTAGGCTGGAATCATATTTTTAAAGTGATGCAGAAACATGGCCATGGCAAGAATAAGAAAAAATAAAGATTAGAAATAGACTTTATGTGGCATGGTTTTTTTTAAGCAAATATTTCAGAGTTTCAACTTATTCTTGGATACTTAAAAAATTACAATGTG